TATTTTACAATTTGCATAGCTTTAAAAATATGCAATTAACTAATTTTAGATCTAACAATGAGAAACAATTTTCATTAAATGTCATTTATATGTGAAATATCTAATATATGGAAATATTTCGAATGATATAATTTATATTTGTTTAATATTGAAATTCGATGCAGTATGGATTCAAAGACATACTTTTTCTGTATGTGTTTTAAATAGATTTTGATAAATAATTAATTAAGATTGAATCGGGCCACAAAGATAATCTCATAATAAGTATAATAAAAACAAGGTGTACATTGTGTTTATTCAATCATATTTTATATCTCGCATCTTTAAATAATCAGATATAATCAAAAGGAAAATAATATGGTGTTGATAGAATATATCCCACCGAGATAATCCTACGATTTATAATCCAACAAAAGTGAATACAAACGACGATCTTCTTAGAATGTTGTAATCTGCGGATAATATTTGATAATAATGTTATTTCTCTTAAATTATATGATTGGTAAATCAATACTTTTAGTGTCCTTTTTTCAAAATAATTCAACATGAAACTATAGCATAATTTTCTATGATATTTTTGAATATTCATTATATGAAAACGCGAAATAGAAGTTGTTTATAAACGAAAAGATTACATTGAAATCATTGATGAAAAATTCGTCAACAATGTTTTTGTCGACATTATTTCGGCCAATATTATGCATTCACATTGATCGATGTACACACACATTTATTCCTGTATACTGTTGACACAGTGTGTCCAAATAGTTTCAAATATTTTCATTCAATCGATGCATGAATACTGTCTCTGTTGTACATCTGAGCAAGTAATGAGCTCATTGCCTTTACTAGAGAATAATTCCCGTTTCACGAAAACAAACAGCAAGCAATGAAAATGACAAACTAAAAATTTTTCATAAAACACAAAAATCAATGAATGCGTATTTATCGGCCAAACTCAGAATATCGACAGAATAGTCTCGATAAAAATAGTCAAACAAAATCTTTGTCGACTATAACATAAGTGTTTTCAGAATAAACGAGCACAATAAACTCAAATATACATTTAGGATTTGGTAAAATCATACTAAATTCATTGAACTGATTCTTAAGACTATTTATTGGCATGTAATTAATTTTTTAATTGTCTTCTCTTTTTATTTCAATATCTCATTGCGGTAAATATATGAAACAATAGCACGTTTTCGTTCGTTTTTTAGACCTTTTCTCGCGATGTGACGCTTCGAAAAATGGGTTATTAATTTATAATATATAACATCGAAATAATTTTTCGCGCGTATCGTGAATGAAATTTTAATTGCAACGCAATTGTAAGAATATCGATAACAAAAAGCGTGAATATGTATGCTAACGAGTACGGCCGTATTGCGTGCTGACAGTACAAAGTCGTACTAAATTCATTGAACTGATTCTTAAAACTATTTATTGCCATATAATTAATTTTTTAAAAGTCTTCTCTTTAATTTCAATATCTCATTGGCAGTAAATATATGAAACAATAGCACGTTTCCATTTTTTTTAAGATCTTTTCTCGCGATGTGACGTTTCGAAAAATGGGTTATTAATTTATAATAACATATTGAAATAATTTTTCGCGCGTACCGTGAATGTAATTTTAATCACAACGCAATTGCAAAAATATCGATAACAAAAAGCGTGAATATGTATGCTAACGAATACGGCCGTATTGCGTGCTGACAGTTACTCCCCGTCGGCTCGAAATGCCGACGCCATGTCGGAGGACGCCGACGGGATCGATCAGCAAAATGACGCGACTATTCATTGTCGCAAACGGTTTATAGCCGTTCTCTCTCGACGTAGTACACAATTATTTTTTCTCCGTTTTCCCTACTTTAGAAGAAGCGGATATATTGATTTAAGTTATGTAACTTTGAAATATTTAATAGTTACAATTGCAGTTTTCTTGTCTGCGATATTATTTATTTTATCGCTATATTATTGTTTGATAATAATATTAATTAGCAATTGTTTGAAAATTGAGATTGGAATTAAAATATATTAATTATATATTATCGAAAAGCGGAATCTCAGTAGATATTTTTTAGATACTTTTTACATTTTTTAAATTGACGCAAATTTAGTAATGGATCCGTACAGTGAAATTTTTTGATATTTTTAAGCAAGTCTGAAGTGTCAAAATGTGGATCATAAAAAGGAATAAGAATAAGTCTTGTGTTATGCGATTAGATTTAATTTCGGGCCTTGCAAATGTTCGTGATGCGACGTATTTTTGAATCTATTCTTTGGATGATGTCTTAGGAAACAACTTGGATTTTAATATTAAAAAAACAAATCTAATCTTTTAATATTTCGTTTTTTTAGTTCTTCTGATTTTTTTTGTAAATTTCTATAAAAGTCGTATCTTAAAGAAGATAATTTTGTGTTCATTCTTTGGACAGAGAAATGATATTATGTTAACAAATAGTCTCTACTTCTCAAGGTTATTTAAAAGATACATTGAATGAGAATGTTTAATTTATGAGAGATATTATATAAATCTCTCGTTATATTTTTCCTTCCACTTTTAGTATTTCCATAGGCAGACGTTTCTCAGTTATTAAATTATATAATAATATGTTGCGTTTATATAGTTAGAATATAAATAGTAATTTTGAAATAATATAAATAAGAGTTTTAAAATATAAATAAGTTTATAAAAGTTTTAAAAATATAAATATAATAAAATATAAATAGTTTTAAATATTTTTGTATGGGATTTCAACGTTTAATTTAGGTATTGTAGGTATTAAATGACAAGATTGAACATTTTGATTTTGAACAACTTTAATTTTGACGGAAAAACTTCTTTCTATTTAATCTTTTATATACATATATATATCTTATACAGAGATAAAGTTGTTGATAAAATTTTGTGTGATAAAAATTTTGAAATTTTGATTTTCTATCTCTCTTTTTCTATAAATAGTAAGAAGAAAATCTCCTAGGTGTTTACATTGTACCAAGCAATGTTCGTCTTATCTAGGTCTGCGACGTACGTTTATCTAGATAGATGCTTCTAAGTTATTTACAGCACAAAGTTATCGGAATATTGACACTAGTATGTTCCCTGTTCGCGTAAAAAAGGAAGTTAGAAATATACTTAAAGAAACCAAGATGTAGCACTCGAAAGTAATTAGCAATTGGCATAAACTACTCTTCGGGATGCCTATTACGTGTATTAAATGGCACACGATTGCAAAGTAAAAGACAGCGCGAATAATGCATGAAGATAATTTCGATGACATCAACAAGAATTCAAATGAGATCGTAGGTTGAGAATGTAAGCATAGGTATGTGTGGCTTGATATAGCGTTTGTTTCTTTCTTTCAGTATATCTATATATGCCTTATTCTTTATCATAAGACTGAGGAATTGAAATGATACCTATACTTGAAGTAAACGATATTACAAAATTTTAAATTCACGGCATATTAAGCAATAAAAAAACTTCATATGTATTGTGAAGCATTTAAGAATAATATCGAAAAATGAATAATAATTTTATAATGAATGAATAATAAAAGTCATATGTAATGAATCTAACTTTGTAATGAGAGTCAAAATCGTTTTTTCATATTTATATATATAATTTTTATGTATGTATAATATATTCTCTCTCTCTTTCTCTCTCTCTCAGTTTCAATAATACTTGAAGATTATATGATGGTTCATTGTACATTAATCAGATTACTCGCGCGAGGGGGCAATGTAAAAAGTTAGTTATTTTTAGATAAGATAAAAATGTTAATCTCCGTACAGTTAATCCAGATATACACCTGTTAATTTCCTATACACGTGTAAAAACAAAGAGTCTCTATAACATATAACACTCTAGTGTAAAAAATGGAATAAATTAATATTCATTTAAATGGATAAGGTGTACTTGAATGGGTTCGATAGATTGCTCACCAATATTGACGCGATTGTGCGAGCTTAGATTATATTGATTGTTACGAAAGTTCAAGTATTATTTTATAACTTTTGAGAGCTAATTCTTATACAGTTATCCAAGTGTTTACAAATCAAGATAGCAGAACGCACGTATGCGTGAGATTTTCATTGAAATACAATATTTATGTGAAGCGTAATATAATAATTAATATAATAATCAATATCAAATAAAAGATAACTGACAGCAATACACAATCATGACATTGTACCTATATGTCCCCGCGTTGTACTCCGCGTTGTACTCGTTGACTCCATCGCGACTCATCTCGAGGATGTCTCTCGCGCCGGACACTATCGCGAATAATTCACGTGGATTCACTCGCCGATCGATGAAACCGGCCGTCGATCGATCGTCAGTCAAGACTCCGATCCCGATTCATGCATTATCGTAAGACGACGCCGATTTAAGGAGGTCTCTCTAGCCTCTCTAGAAGGGAAGAAAAGAGATTCCCTCGGAAATTGGAAGAGAAACACGCGCGATCCGCAGCGGATCCGCGAGAGGAGACGCGTAGGCCGCGTCACTCACTCGCGCCCGGAGAAGAGGTGCCGGTTGTCAAACGCGTGGCAGACGACGACAGTTGACATGACATGAGATGAGAGAGGAAAGCGGCGCTCCGCGCCGCGACGGCGCGGGCGTCGCGCGGCCGGCACGACACGGCACGGCACGTCACGGCCGTGCGTCGTGGAGCCGGGTGTCTCGCGTGGAATTGCGCAAGCCAATTCCGCTCCGAGGGATGATCGGCTTGGCGCGCGCGAGCGATCGCGAGCATGCGCGCTCCATTCGGAGCACGACGCCGGAGGGGTAGAAGAGGCCGCGGCGCCGCACAAGACACGGCGGCGTGACGATTGAAAGCGACGTTCGAGGGAGCCAACAGCCGCAGCAACGTCGCAAGCGGATTGGCCGAGCGCGATACGGCCGGAGGAAGGACTCGCCGCGATTGGCAGCTCCGGCGGGATCGGGCGCGGCACAGGTGAGCGACGGTGGGGTGTATTTGAACAAGAGCCGCCGACTCAAGAGTAGCGGAGTACACTCGCTAACCGGCCTCCATCCACAACACGGCACACAGAGAGAGGAGAGAGAGACTCACGTTGAGGTACGAGGCGGAGTGTGTGGTGAGAGGCGGTGAGGTGGCTCAAACAGGGCCCCGCTCGATCAAATAACCGTCCGCGCGCGCGGCCGTCGAGCAGCCGTCGTCGTAGTGGTTGGTGTTGTTTCGCGCACTCGTCCACGTCGTACAACACGCGCTCGCAGGATCTTTCCCTGTCGTCGGGATTCGTCGTCACCCTCATGGTGTCGGGGTAACAATTACCCCTGTCTCTCCCGGGGGTGCTCTCTCGCGACCGCGTACCTTCGCTCCGTGCGACGAGCGCGCATCTTCCTGGCGAGCAAACGGACTGTGCATTGTGTTCCGGAGAAGAGGACGGTGTCTTCGTAGAGGTTTACCTCGCGTTTTCGCTAACACGGTGTGTGTCCCGAAGGTATCTCGCGTGGAGACTTTTCTCAGATCCTGCGGGAAAGAGGAAACCCGACGATTCTCGTCGCCGGTTGAAGCTGAGCTTGTGAGCTTGGAAGAGAATTTTGTCAACTCAACAGTGTCATTCAGTGTTAGCGGCAAGAATTTCCCAGGTGAAGTTTCTTTTTTTCTGGTGAAGGAAGAGAGTGTCGAGACGATCGTCGCGCGTCCCCGGTTCTCTCGGTGCGTACGACTTTAGGAATCTCTGTGATTCGTGACTCGACAGAAAGAGGAGAGCGATAGAAGACTACTCGGTTACCGTTGAAAGCGCGGACGACTCGACAGGTCGTCCGAGCTCGCCCGGTGAAAAGATTAAGGGAATACCCGACTGCCAGCAGCCGTGGTACCGCGGATTTCATGACAGCCGTTTGACAGCGACGACGCGACAGCAGGCCACCTCGGCGCCGGTCAGCTCTATGACCATGCTTCAGTCGCAAAAGCTGTACGGCGATGCGGGTGCCATGAGCAGCGCCGCGATGTCCAGCATGGGCAGTATGGCGCCCACGTATAGCTCGATCAACTCGATGAGCTGCGTGCCGATGGGGATGTCGATGGGCGTCGGAGTCGGGCCTAGCTGCAGCCCGCAGGGCGCCGGCGGTTTCAACATGAGCACCATGAGCTCGGCGATGGGAATGGCATCGATGGGAGGTGGCGGGATGAGCGGTTACAGCAGCGCTTCCATGGGCACCGGTGGTGCTTGTATGAGCGCCGTCGGATACGGGCCTTTGACACCCAGCGGTGGTACCGGCGTCAGTCGGGATCCCCTGGCTCTGACCGAACCGGACTCACCGAACTCGGCGCTGCAGCGCGCGCGCAGCGAGAAGTCCTACCGTCGTAGTTATACTCATGCGAAACCGCCGTATTCCTACATCAGTCTGATCACCATGGCGATACAGAACGCGCCCCACAAGATGCTGACCCTCTCCGAGATCTATCAGTTTATCATGGATCTATTCCCGTTCTACAGACAGAATCAGCAACGCTGGCAAAACTCCATCAGGCACTCGCTCAGCTTTAACGATTGCTTCGTTAAAGTGCCACGCACTCCGGACAAGCCTGGGAAGGGATCCTTCTGGACGCTGCATCCGGACAGCGGTAACATGTTTGAGAACGGTTGTTATCTACGACGGCAGAAGAGGTTCAAGGACGAGAAGAAGGAGCTGACCAGGCAGACCAGCAAGCATCAGCAGCATCAACATCAAGCGACAGCAGCGGCGGTGGCGGCTGCGTCCGGCGCGACTATCGCCGGTCAACACAGCCCGCCCACTCACGAAGGCGCGCCCGGCTCCAAGAAGACCAGCTCGTCCATCCACCATGGCGGTCCTCCGCAGCAGGATGATAAGGATCTGCACGGATTGGTACCCTCGCATCATCATCATCACACCGCGAGTCTTCATCAACATCATAGCGCCCTGAAGAGCGACACCACCGATATCGGTGGCCTCCTAGTGCCCGATCTCGGCGCCGCGCACGACGAGCTTACCGCCATGGTCAGCCGCAGCCTTCATCCGCATCTATTATCCGATACCGCGAACTTGCATCACGGCATGACCGGTAGCTTGAAGCAGGAACCGCTCTATGGTACAGCCGCCAATCATCCGTTCAGCATCAACAGGTTACTGCCGCGGGACACGACCGGGACCTCGCCCGGCGCCCAGGATACCAAGCCCCCCGAGATGAAGATGTACGAACAGCTGCACCAGAGCTACAACTTCGGCTCGCCTCATCATCCGCACGCGCACTCGGCGCCACCCGGGCATCATCACCACAACGGCATGCACGCCGGCACCAACGCCGCCGGGCCGATGCACATGACGAATCATCATCATCAAGAGTACTATCAGAGCCCGCATTATCATCACGCCACGAGCGTCGCCACCACGAGCGCACCACCTCCCGCCGTCGCTACCGCGACGCCGGGCTTGTGACATCACGCCACCCACCCTTACGCTTTAGCCTGAGTCGCTGCCGCCGCGGCTTACGCCGCCGCCAGCGCTGCCGCGCCCCCGATGCCATCCCCGACGCCGGATCTGTCCGCGATCACGACGACGAGCGCGACGGCCGTCGAGCCGACGACGTCACCCACGACTTCGTCGACCGTCTCGTCGTCGCCGCGTACGCAACCACGCCGGCGCGCCCGTCGTCCCGATAACGACGACATCGTCGACGCCGTCGTCTGCTGGCCGCCCGACGACGACGACGAATACGACGATGAGAACGAAGACGAGGACGAGGAGAACGTCGTCTACAGACGGTAGAGCGCTGCCGGGAGGTAGGATTCCTCAGGGTATTTCGGCTCACTCTTAGGGTTCATCGTCTCGACTGTTAGTTTATTATGTTTATTGTTATCAAAATGTAATATTGTTATAATGCTCTATTTTTTTTCCATATATTTTTCGTTTGACTTTAAATCTCATTCTCGACTCGCGCGTTTCGAGTATAAAAAAACGCCATGATCTCTACTCTCCTTTTTGAATATTCCCAAAATTGCCCGTAAAATGCGTGATGCAATAAATGCTAAAAGTGGTAAATTTCCTTTTTTATATATGATTTTTGTCAATAATAACATAAATGTATATATGAAATACAAATAGATTCCCTCCTTTATACGTAAAGAAATGAATTTTTACGTGAAGAAATTACTCGCCATTATTGTAGCATGAGATGTGTAATGTCTTTAGATCAGTCGTGTGCGTCATTGATTTATTTTTTCCGAGTTCCCTTTATTTTAAACCTTTATATTGCTAATGTAATTCAGTATTTCAATATATTCGCGAATTATATATTGATTATATGAGAGAAGTCTCATGCGATTCATCGAAATCGCGCGATTATATTGAATGCTCGGTATGATAAACGCGACAATATGGAATGTAGAAATATGATTTAGTATATTTCTGGATATTTACACATTTCTCAACACAGTTATATTATATATTGATTATATAATTCGCTAATATACTTAAATAATGATTTATAATAACGATATAAAAGTTTAAAATGGAGGGAACCAAGAAAAAGTAAATCAATATACATGACTGACATGGAGATATTATGTTCCTTATGCTACAATAATGGGAAATAATTTCTTTACATATAAATATTGTAATGTTTATGTATCGTGTAGGAGGAATCTATTTGTACTTTATACATATATTTATGTTATTATTAACAAAAATCATATATAAAAGAAGAAATTTATTCTCTTTTAATTTAGCATTTATCGCATCACACATTTTACGAGCAATTTTCGGAATATTCAAAAAGCAGAATCTAGAGATCATAGCGTTTCGCATAAAGACTTAGAAGAAACAGAAACAATATTTACGTTTAACTTCCAAACTTTAGTGATATGAAGGTCACATTATCGTGTATTATCCTTTGACAGAAGCAAATGGGAAAATAATATTTACATGCGTATACAATCTTCGCGTTGCTCGTATTAAACTTATGTCCGTTACTGTATGTTGTCACTCAAACTGACAATGACTTGGTAAGCATCGTTCAAGTACAATTGCAAACAACAATCACGATAAAGGAGATTAAAGCTTACTTTAGATGATTTTTAATTCGTGATAGAATTCTATTCATAATTTCAGTATACGATACAGAAAACATTTGTCGAATCAGATTCATGAAATAAAAGATAAAATTATGAATAGAATTTTATGTTATTCCTTAAATGTTCTGTAGTGTTTCATGCAAAGAGATGAGATGATTGATTTTTTCTTTTTGTTTCTAAAAATTGATTCATTTTATCTCTTTTCATAAAACACACTACAAAACACTAACGAATGGCATAAAATTCTATTGATAATTTTATCTTTTACGTCATGAATCTGATTTGACAAATGTTTGCTAAATCGTATGCCGAAATTATGAATAGAATTCTGTCGCGAATTAAAGATCATAAGTAAGCTTTAATCTTCTTTATCGTAATTGTTGTTTGCAATTGTACTTGAAACGATGCTTACCAAGTCATTGTCAGTGTATCTTGCCCGATTCTGTGAATTATTTGAAATTTATCATCATGTTATTTCGTCACAATTTCATTCTGTTGAATTTATCTCGTGTACACCGGAAAAGGTGTTCGAGAGAAATGTATAAATGTCCAGAAGTATACTGAATCATACTACATTCTATATTGTCATGTTTATCATATCGAATCATTCAATGTAATCGCGCGATTTCGTTGAATCGTGTGAGACTTTTTTGTGATAGACATGATACGAATGATGCATTTTCATGCGATAAGCAGAATGCGTCTCGATTCTCGATATTCCATTTCTTGCACATCATATCAAGATTACGTAATAACTCGTTAAACATTTAAGAATTTATAGACAATTGTCGCTTTTCAGTCAAATTCACATAATAATCGTCCGACAAAATTAATAAGAATATATAAAGTTAATTAAAATGCAATAGCGAACTGCCAGATTTTTTTTTTACAGATTTTTACTAGAGAAATAGAATTCCCAAAATAAATCAGAGAGCATCAGAAAGCTTCAACACTTATTCAATATATAACATATTTTATCTCGGAATCAATATCATTGATATAATGCTCTTGTTCAATAAACTTACAAAGCGAGCAGTTAACGCGTATGGAATAATATTTGAAGTTAATAAGTAATTCTGTAATAAATGTAGTCGAACAACGGTACATAAAAGATTACTCGACGACTCATTTCTATTCTGTTTTACTTCTTTTTTCGTAAAAGAAAAGATATTTTTTATTTTTTGTTGGGAAAGGAAAAAGTGACTAATAATAACACATAGATGATATTTTCATATGTGTATGATAATTTTCATATGAAGATAGTTTCTAAAATTATAGTTAATATACATACATATTTTATATATTATAGTTAATATAGATATTATTTATAGTTATTATTTATATTTATTAAATATAGCCCTTGTTACTTTTTACTTAAAATGTTTATGTAAAATTTGTCAAAAATATTATTGATAATAATAGATAATTATCAGAATTTTTTCATTTGATGTTGTATGATTTATTTTGGGAATTCTATTTCTCTAGTAAAAATCTGTAAAAAATCTGGCAGATGGAATATTGACCGGAATTATATCAATAATGCACATCGATTAGATCGGTCATTAATCTCGATTTCCTTTCATTTTAATCATCTCTTATCGTTCTGTATTTATTGTTGCATATATCATTGCTATATCGTTTTTATAAGAATGAAAAGAGAAAAAGATATAAGATAATTCTAGTCTTATTAAAATCTGAATTGTCAACATCGACATGTTACATTTTCACAAGGTATGAAATTTGTCATCGATTTAAAATAAAAAATAATTTTATTTAATTTTATAATTAATAATTTTATCTCTTACGTGATAAAAATTCAATAATTGTCAATAATCCTCGCGTGTTGCATGCAACATATAAATAAATGCAACAATAATAAAACAGAGCGATAAAAGATGCTTAAAATGAAAGGAAATCAAAATCAATGATCGATCTAATTATTGATGTACATTATTGATATGATGATATTGATTGATATAATTTCGAAAAAACTATCTATTGAAAATTATTGATTGGTAATTTTCCATTTTATGTTATATATTATTTTCATTTGATTTTATTACTATTTTAACATATTACTAAAAATAATAGGCATGATTAATACTGTATGTCTCATTTGACTTGGTTTGAAATATGAAAGGTCTTTATTGTCAGTAAGAGAAAAAATATTTTAGAATGTTATATTGGTGTGTGTGATTCGAAAATATTTCACTGATAATATTTAATAAGATTAACTATTTATTCTTAAATATTTTATAGATATTGTTATCAAGAGTTTACTTCATCTAATTTGATTATTTGAAATATCTCTTTATTGTTATTAACAATATCTATAAAATATTTAAGAATAAATAGTTAATCTTATCAAATATTATCAATGAAATATTTTTGAATCAAATATGCTCCTGAAATATAATATTTTTTCTCTTATTGACGATAAAGACTTTTCAAATTTCAAAATGAGATAATATTTTATACAAATAATTATTTGAAATTATGAAATATTTAATTATTTTCTTTGAACTTTTGGGTAGATTTTGGAAGGATTTCAGCTTTCGCGATGTATTCAACAATCGCATCTCATTCGATTAAGAAAGTCGCTCTTGATAACAATTAAAAATTTTTTAGCCTTATTCATTATCTATTACAAATGAACTTTTGACGATGAACCTATCTCGGTGGTCCGAAATACTTTCGATTAATATTAAATAAAGACGACCACAGGGCGTAGAAGGGAGTGCGTTGTCGCAGCATGGAGTAAGCGGCATAAGCCTCGAAAAGCAGTGCCAGGTAAAAAGTGAGAGCGGTGTCGGATGAACAAAATTTGTGATACTATACGTGAAAATAAATATAAATTAACGGACGAGTGCGCGCGCGTATAAATATAATTATATTCGAGCATTTGTGAAATGTGCATAGTTCGCGCATTCGCACACCAGTATCCACGCACACGCACACGAGCATTCACGAGGTGTATGAACGCGCGCGTGTCATCGAGATAATTGAGAATGTCGAGTAAATAATTAATTCGTTTTAAGAGCGTCACGCGGGAGACGCCCCGCGTTTTTGTATAATAACTGTAGATAGCCGTATATATCTTAATGCGCATATGATGTACAATATTATATGTTAAAGAGAGGTATATATACATATGATTATATATAGCTATATATATATATATATATAAATGGAATCTTTATCGCGATACTATTATATATTAAGTCCACTTTGGACGATCTATACAATAGGTGAACAAATTCGGGATGCAATTCTATGAAATTTTCAATGCCGTATTCAATGCTGCATTCTCTGATATGTATTTTATGTATATTTTTTGCTGGTATACATACTTTGCTTTTTATATATGCATATTTCCTGTACTATACGGCACGAAATGTTTTGTTTCGAATTTTATCGTATAGATCATCTAAAGTGCACTTTAGGTGCATACATATAATAGAATATAAGTGAGTAAATGAATGTATGTAAGAGAGAGAAATGAAAGAAAAGAACAGAGAAAGATAGAGCGAAAGACATAGAAAGTTTTGATTTAATTTTTGACATTCACAAACTGTACCAGAAATCACAAGGTCCAAGGACCTTGATTATCAATCTCAGAATCAGTTTAACAGATTTTGCAGTTACTATGTCCAAATATGATACTTTTTTTGCGTTCATTTGTATCAGGGAATAAATGGCACGTCATCAGATCATTAACCATTTAAATATACGGCAATTAATATGAAAAATGTTGCATAGGAATAAAGTAATAGCCGAAATTGATCTTAATAATTGCAAAAATTGTATACAATTTGTTTGTTACCGATCCGATGAATGTCGACATTTTTAAACGACATTTATAAACATCATTTTATTATATCAACAGCATAAAAATATCGAAAATTGATCCATTTTTCTATTCAAAATATAATAGCCGAAATTAAATCCCTACGAAAGCAAATGACATAGAATTTGCTCAGTGATGCTGCGAACATACGAGTATCATACGTCAGTGCAATTTACAGTGAAAGCGTGTTAAACATGAGATTTCGTAATTTCGAGATTTGCATTTCACGCGTGTCCCACCTTGAGAGAAGTCCTCTTTCGCAGGATCATGTTTCCTCCTTTCCTTCTTAGTCGAGAACATGACAGCCTGCAATCGATCATAATAATTTCACGAGAGAATTTTCCGCGAATTTTTAACAGCCCATCGTAAAATTATAATAATAATTAACAACGCGAGCCTCTCATTATTTGTTTTCTAGTTTTCTAATTTTTGTTTTATTAGAAAATTTCTAATCGTAATCTAATCGTTTGCAAAATAATACAATTCGAGTTTCCACATTTCATGATAAGTAAACTTTAACACGCA